CTGACCTTAAGGTTCGCAGCCCGATTCGTAACCACTACGCTACCAGAGCTCCCTGACTCAATGGCATATAACAACAATAACAACAAATTTTGAAGGTGTAAAATATTCTCATCTTGCCCAAACTCATATATTAAATTATGTTTGATATAATCTAGTTTAAGGTAAATTATAGAAAAGCTGAATAAATCCTTAACTTTGTTGTTAAGTGCCGTCGAGTCAGTTCCAACTCATAGCGACCTTATGTAGGGCTTCCAGGAGCAATTGGTGGGTTTGAACTGCTGACCTTGTGGCTTGAAATCTTTTGCTGATCCTACAGTGACACAGCTGGTAGCATAGTGGTTACGAATTGGGCTGTGAACCTCAAGGTCAGCAGTTTAAAACTACCAGCTGTTCCGCGGAAGAAAGATGAAGCTTTCTATTCCTTAAGAGTTACAGCTTCGGAAACCCGGTACAGGGTCGTTGTTAGTCCGAACCGACTCTACGTCACATCACCACCACCACCACCACCACAGTGCCACACCCGGAGTCTACTAATCTAATTTAAATTTTCTTTTTTGCTTTTATATGAAGAATGTGAAATTGATGCCAGCACCTCCATGTGGATTTATGTTTTTCTGGGGAATCTTCTTCGTGGAATAGGAGAAACTCCCATTCAGCCTCTAGGCATCTCATACCTTGATGATTTTGCCTGTGAAGACAACGCAGCCTTCTATATTGGTAATCCCTACTTCACTCATCTTCTTGGGAGGCAGGATACCTCGTTTTCTTAATTCTATTAGAAACTAACTAGAGTGTAGAAATTTTAATATTTCATGCCCAATTACTTTATAGAATGCACGCATTTCAGACGTACATACTTAAAAACTGGATGTGAAGAAATCGCAATTAGGAATATCTTTGCAATAAGTATATAACTAGCACTGAATTAAAAGAAAACTGGGCAATAATTGAGTGTAACTACAATATTGTCTGTGACCTCATATAATTATCTTAACCTCTTTGGGCTTCGATGTCATCAATTATTTTTTTCAGATGGCTTTATTACTAAAGCATTTGAATAATTTGTATATATATTTGTTCCCAGAGCCCTAAAAGTTGGATTTTATTTTAGAAGACCTGTTATTTTTAAGGCACCTTTCTTCCTTCCTTTCATTTCCCTTTGTCTCTATTTCTTTCTTGTTCTGTGGGTGATAGGAAGTTAGGAATTGTAAATCTCAACAGTAGAATGAGATAAAGAAAAACATAAAGAGGACAGAAGCAAGGCCTCAAGCGATCTCATTTCTGGAATAGGCCCGCATAAGTGGACCAGTAGCTAAAACTGCAAAAACCAAAAAATTGAAGCAAAGGCAAATTCTAAATTCATCTGAATTTAAACAGCATTAGTTGGGATTATGAACTAGGGGCCCAGAGAGGATGAAGACCTGTTCTCTGTCTCAGAAATTAGTAATGATTTCTTGGGGTTCTGATATTTTGTGGGCATCACATTCATCAATGGAAGAGCACGATTTAAATTAGTTGAGGGATCGCATCAAGGCCACTATACTATCCTGCTCTGGCTGGGCACTATATAACTCCTGGAGGCTTCTGGTTATAGCTAAGCAAGCTAGAGTTAAGAACAAGGCTCCTGCTCCAATAGAAAATTTCATTACAAAAAGGAGACGGAAATGAAACAAAAAATCCATCACACGCACAAAGAAATCACTCTGGGGACAGGAGGGAAAGTTGCAGCCAAAAGAACCAGGCCAGATGCCTAGTACTCCTCTTTTCTCTCCAGAAACCTCAGAGCATGCTCACTTTTTTTGCCCTCTATCCTATTCAGAAAAGAATCTGATACCTGCTATTTATTCCTCCAGTTAATCTAAAGAGTAGCCTCTACCAGTAATATGTGCATTTTATATTCTTAAGTGAAATGAAAGGTAAACAGCAGAGGTTTGCAGGGAAAACTGGTTACTAGAAGTTGTCATTTATGCAGTATGCTCTGCTTACCTATTTTGCCTGAACTAGGTGGCCATCGGTGTTCCAGAGAGCATTCCCCTCTCCCTGTTTCAAAGTCTAGTTCCTTTGCTAGCTGCATCTAAGGGTGTGATCAAATACTACTCTCACAAATGGTTTCATGGAAACTCTGAGGGAATGGAGGAGCTTTTTCACTAAGGGGGAAGAAGTTAATTTTAGTATCAAAATAAGTCTGACACTTAATTGACCATAAAAGAAAAAAGGTGTTTGACCGGCTGTCAGAATCAGTATAATGCTGATTTTTATAAGAAGGGAATCTAATCCTAGGGAGTACACTTTCCTCCATTTTTAAAATGAACTTTTCAGGGGTTGGTGGTGTTGTCTTACTAAGAGATAATTAATGTCTTCAAAGTATTCATTCTCCCCTCAAAGTAGAGAAGGACTTATTGCCTAGTGAAATTGAGAAACTGACAAATTAAGCACACAAATGAAATATTTTTATATGCTAACTGAATCTCATATTTCTTTTTGAAAATTTATTAATTTATAAAAGCAAAAAAAAATGGTAGCTGTTTTTTTCCTTTTTTTTCAGGGTGCGTGCAGACGGTTGCAATTATAGGACCAATCTTTGGCTTCCTATTAGGTTCATTATGTGCCAAATTGTATGTTGACATTGGCTTTATGAATCTAGGTAATGGAGTTTATTTTTATTTATTCTTTTATTTTAGTTACTATATTTTCTTTAATGAGAAATCATGTGAAAAATAACAAATTTAATTTTATGAATGACAGGATAGTAGCTTTTGATAAAATGAAAGTAATCTATGGACTTATCGTTGATAAAATCAACACATGCCTTAATAAATATGACAAATAGGTGGTGTTTGGAACTGGATGACAGCGGTTTGTTATTAAGCTGTATCCTTTTCACTTCTGGGTTCCCAGATCAAATGCCTTCCAAAAGAGTCAAGATTAAAATCTGTGGCTACTTACTGGCTCTCATTGACTTCAGGTGTGTCAACATCTATTACAGTTGCATCAATTGATAATGTAACTGGGAACTTGCCAGAAAAGCTAAGGATTGACAGTCTTCTGGCAACCAAAATTTCCTTCTTCTTCTTTTTAAGTAGACAAGTTTTCTTTTAATTGAGATGTACTATGTCCCAGTGTGGCTCTGTGGGACAAGCACTGGACTGCTAATTGTAAGGTCAGTGGTTCAAACCCACCCGTAGCTCATTGGAAACTCTATACAGGATTGTTATAAGTTGGAACTGACTTGACAGCAACTAACAACAACAACAACATAGTGAGATGGACTTTCCTTCCAGGATTGTTTGTGTAGGGACCATGAGGGAGGGAGGCCTGATCTTTCCATAGTTGGATTTCTTTCTCTGTGAATGGTGCCCTCTAGAGATAGACAATGTTTATCTTTTTCAAAGAAATCCAGTAGAGCAGTTAAAAACAAGTAATTCCCATATACAAAATAACTACACAATTACATTTTGAAGTCATTATGTTAAAAAAGAATGTGGAAACCATTACATTAACGTATTCCTTTCTAAAAAGTTCAAGACACATTCCAAAAGTGGTATTATTTTATTCATGTGTTCATTTAAGTCAAAAAAATAAATTCTCATCGATTCTAAACCACATTCTGTTCTACTGCAGTGAGCGAAATAGTTGAATTCCTTGACTTCATGAAAATTAAAAATTCAAGCTTGGAGACTGATATAGAATAAGAAAGTATAGGTGTGGTGAGTGGGAATTGTTAAGGAGAAACAATACTCAGTGATAAGCTCCTCTAAGCCTTTCTGAGCATAATTCAGTAGCAACTGAGCCTATTTGTCAAAGAACGTGTATTTATTTTATTGGTCTCATGTAGAGTGATGGAAGTATTTATATAGTGATATGTTTCATAGCATCTTAAAAATGGTTATGTTGTTGCTGTTGAGTGTTCTTGAGTCTGTTCCAACTCAGAGCAATCTTCTATAGGGTTTAAGAGGAGCAACTGGTGGATTTGGACTGCTGAAATAAAGATTAAAAGGTAGATTGCTAATCAAAGGTTGGTGTTTGGAAACACTCGGAGGCGCCTTGAAAATCCTATAGAGAAGTTCTACTGTGCATACATGGGGAAGCATGAGGCAGAATCAACTTACAACGGCATACAGAAAAAAGCAAACACTTAATTTGGGGATCAATACTTTTTATCAGTGCTCATTTTGTAGTCAAATGAGAAGTGATTAAAAAAAATTTTTTTTTAAAAATATGAATATGATATCAAGATTTTTCTGAATATAAAAATCTCACTTCAGAAAAAAAATAGCTCTAAAGTTTCATTAACTACCATCAAATAAATAATGTTCTGCTGATTTAACATCAATAGGTATTAAGTTAATCATCTTTGTTATGAGATGTCTACACTAGATTTGGGCCACAGGGTGACAGGATAAACCTGTCATCAAATAAATTCTTAGCTGTTCAATTTGTGAATTAAATAAAAGTGAAAATGATGAGTTCTTGGTATAAGAGGTTTTGAGCACTCATAATTCTCCCTCACATGTTACTTGCCTTATGCCAAAGGCCCAAAGGTCCCTCTGTAAAACCTCAAGTGAAGGTTGAAAGTCATGAGTTTCCTTCTAGTATTTGAATATTATACTTTTAGATCAAAGAACAAACAGAGAAAGCATCATGTTACAGAAGTAGCCCATGTCTTTCAATTAGCAAGATAATTGTTTAGAGTAGAAAAAAATGATCATGTATGAACTATTAAATCTTACAGTGTAATAGGAGTCCTGGTGTGGTGCTGAGGGTTAATGCCCTATACTGCAAAGTCGGTTTGAACCACAATATGGGTGATTCAACCTCATCAGCTGCTCCTGAGAAACCCTATACAGGGCTGCTATGAGTTGGAACTGACTCAACAGCACTTAACAACAGTTAATGGTATAATACGGGAGTGCAGTGATTGTGTATGATAAGCACTAGACTGTGAACCACAACTTCAGTTGTTTGAGCCCACCAGCTACTGCCGAGGAGGAAGATGAGGCTTTCTTTTCCCACCGAGATTTACAGAAACCCTACACAGAGTCACTATGAAATGAAACTGACTTCACGGCACTTACCAACTACACACTGCAATAGAGCCAGGACTAGGATTAAAAAGAGAGGAGGGAGCACTTAATTGAACCTGTTAGCTTTGCTTCATCTATGACTTAGCCCTCCTCCTTGTCTTTCAGATCACATAACCATTACTCCAAAGGATCCCCAGTGGGTAGGTGCCTGGTGGCTTGGTTATCTAATAGCGGGAGTCATAAGTCTTCTCGCAGCTGTGCCTTTCTGGTGTTTACCAAAGAGTCTACCAAGGCCTTGTGGTCGAGAAGATACTAATTCCTCCTCTGAGGAAGGCAAGTTCATAACAGACTACCAAACACCCTGTGGAAAAAAAGTAAAAATAATAGAAATGGCAAAAGGTGAGTCCGATTCTCCATGATTTTGAAGATCTTTCCATTTCTCTGTTGACACCTTAGGGACTCAAGAAATAGTACTCCTCTCACCTTTGTGTGTTCAGAACAAATTAAGAAAACATACAGGCAGCAGATATAGAGATCAAAAGTCAGCTTTATTACTGGGAAAGCTGATTGGTAACCTTCCTTACTGACATCTTCACCCTTACACTCTTTAAATGTAGACTTTGCAAATGCCCTTACCTACGATTTATGCCTTGCATTAGCATCACTCTGGGTGGACAGAGAAGAAAAGAATGACTCTTCAGGGTTTGTGGACTTTGGAGGGATGAGGCCCACCCATTAGAGAAACGTAAACCAATGCATATCTTTCCCAAACAGTAACTGAGAGACTGTTGTGATGCAAAAGGTCAACAGTGTTTCTCTAGTATTAACATATCCACCTTCTTTTGCATCAATCTCTAGCAAACTATATTCACATTTACAGTAGTTCTTGATATTTCTGTTTGGATATATAATGGTAAGATCTGAGAGTAGTCACACAAAGCTCATTTCGAACACTCAATTTCATGTTGGAAGTAGAGATAATTTTCATAATCCCTTTTCTGTGACCATGACCAATTTCTGGAAAATAAACAACAGAAATCTGAAATTCCTAATATCCTGTCTCAGTCTCCCAGCTGGGTGATGAGGCTTATTTCTATCTCTTTTCCTTACATTAGTTAAAGGAATCTGTTCCTTTCTGACTCTACTGTAGGTGTAGGCCCAATTTTTGCCTGCAAACGTGTGTACCTCTGCCTGAATTTGAGACTTGTCAGATCTCAACCTTGAATTATGTCAATAACTTACTATTGACTGTGTGTATTTGTGCAACATGGTGAATGATCTGAACTCTAACATGACCAGACTAAGCCTTGTAATCAAGATTGTAGCTTCTGCCAAGTATGACAGCTGTCTTCTAATTATTCCACGTTCTTCTTGTTTTATAGATTTTCTTCCATCACTGAAGAATCTTTTTGGAAATCCAGTGTACTGCTTGTATTTGTGTGCAAGTTCTGTTCAGTTGAATTCTTTATTTGGCATGGTGACATATAAACCAAAGTACATTGAGCAACAGTATGGACAATCAACCTCCAAGGCCAACTTTGTAATTGGTATGTTTATCGGCTCTTTATGGTTTCTAATAGGCACTGTCTTACATGGATCTTGTAAAATCTTTGTAGCTTAGAAAATTTTTTCCAATATTTAGAGCAAAGCTAATTTAGAGTATGTTGGATATGAATTCAAAGATTGTGTGAAAAAAATTAGCAGAGTAAAATAAGTTCTTTTTGGTGCCTATTTGTAATAAAAATTATTCATAATCATGACTCAAAAAATTATTTGTACATGACTCAGAAAAGAAACAGTTCTTGAAGAAGCAGTATCATATAGACAATGCATATGTTTTATGAGGAGATAGTTAGTATTGGGTATTTCACTTTGAAGTTCAGTCAAAACCTTAAACCACTGGCCATCTGAATAGTACAATTTCTAGGATTTATGAAGTAGAATTCAGACAGATTAAGATGAATTCATTGAGTTGGGGAAAGGTATTCTTCCCAAAGTCCAAAGACTTGTCTCATTTCTGGTAATTGGGTCATTTAAAAGGACTGTGTTTCTGAGGCAGCAGTATAGTCAAAATAAGAAAGTATTCAAGGGCAGACAAAAAAATGAATAGATGAATGAAGAGGCACCACAATCTACAAATATACACACATGTGTACCACCCTACAAATAATTGGATACTTTGAAATGTTTAGCTTGTTCCTTTAGTCTATGAAGATATCATTTAATGTCACTGTTAAAAGGCATAAAATATATTCTGTCTTTAGACATGTTACTTCATGATATAAAACTCCAATGGTTTAGTTATTTTCACCATAAAATACTTTGAAAATCACCTTATCTATCTTCCTTCAAAAGGGACCTGAGAAGAAACCAACTAATAGTATTTTAGAAGAGATATTTTTCTTGCAAAAGGCCTGAATTATGAGTACTTATCAGATGTTGATCCATTAATAATTGGAACATAAAATGTATGAAATACAAATCCAGAAAAGCTGGAAGTTCACAAAAATGAAACCGAACACATAAAGATCAATATCCTAGGCATTAGTGATCTGAAATGGACTGATATTGGCCATTTTTAATCAAACAATCATATGGCTTGCTGTGCCAGAAATGACAAATTGAAGAGATATGGTCTCATTCATTGTCAAAAAGAATATTTCAAGATCTATCTTGAAGTATAATGCTTTCCATTATAGGATAATATTCATACACCCACAGTTAATATAACTATTATTCAAATTTATACACCAATCACTAAAGCCAGTGATTTTAAAAAGAATCGAAAAATTCTACCAACTTTACTCATTCTGAAACAAATCAACCATGTAATCAAGATACATTGATAATTATTAGTGATTAGAATTAAAGATTGGAAACAAAGAGGATCATTAGTTGGATAATATGGCACTGGAAATAGAAATTATGTGGGAGATCACATGATACAATTTTGCAAGATCAATGACATTCACTGCAAATACCTTTTTCAAACAACGTAAAAGGTGGCTATTGTGGCACTGCAGGATAATGCGCTGGACTGCAAGATCGGTTTGAACTGCAAGGTCAGTAGTTCAAACTCACCAGCTACTCCTCAGAAACCCTATATAGGGTTGTTATGAGTTGAAACCAACTCCGTGGCACTTAACACCAACACCAACAACATACACATGAACCTCACCAAATGGCATACATAGAAATCAAATTGACTACATCTGTAGTAAGAGACAGTGGAAAACTTCAATATGTTCAGCCAAGACAAGGCCGGGACACATTAAATCACACCATCAATTTGCTTATATGCAAGTTCAGGCTAAAGCTGAAGAAACTTAAAACAAGTCCAGGAGAGCCAAAATAAGACATTGACCATATCCCACCTGAATGTGGAGAACATCTCAAGAACAGATTTGGTGCACTAGACACTAATAACTGAAGATAAGAAGAGTTGTTTGATTATATCAAGAGCATTGAAAAGGAGCAAAGCAAAAGGTCATTAAAAAGACAGTAAAGAAAGAAAAGAACAAAATGTGTGTCACAAGAGACTGAAATTTGATTGTGAGCCTAGAGAAGCTAATGCACATGGAAGAAATGAGGACGTAAAATAGCAGAACAGAAATTTACAAAAAGGCAGCTCAAGAAGACTAAGTCAAGTACTGTAATAAAATGTGTAAAGACCTGTAGTGAGCAATCAAAAAGTGAAGAACAAGCTCAGCATTTCTCAAGCTGAAAGGACTGATGAAAAAATTCAAGCCTTGAAGGATTCTATGGGCAAAATATTGATTGATGTAGAAAGCATCAAAAGAAGATGGGAGGAATACACATAATTACTATACCAAAAGGAAATGGTCACTGTTCAACCACTTCAACAGGTAGCATATGATCAGGAACCAATGATAATGAAGGGAGAAGTATAAACTTCATTTAACTCATTAGTGAAAAACAAGGTTCCTGGAATTGACAGAATACAAACTGAAGTCTTTCAAGAAACTGATGTAGCACTGAAGGAACTCACTCATCTTTTCAAGAAATTTAGAAGATAGCTACCTGGCCAACTGATTGGAAGAGATCCATATTTGTGCTAATTCCAGAGAGGTGACTCAACAAAATGCAAAATCCATCAAATGATATTGTTAATGTCACAAGCAAGTAAAATTTTGCTGATGATAATTTAAAAAAAAAAAAAAAAAGGTTGCAACAATACTTCTACAGAGAACTATCAGAAATTCAAGCCAGATTCAGAAGAAGACATGAAATTGCTGATGTCAGATGGGTCTTGACTGAAAGCAGAGAATACCAGAAAGATGTTTACTTGTACTTTATTGACTTTACAAAGGCTTTCAATTGTATAGCTCATGACAAACTATGGATAACACAATGAAGAATGGGTATTCCCAAATACTTAATTATTCTCATGATGAAGATGAACATGTATGTAGACCAAAAGGCAGTTGTTGGAACAGAACAAGTTCAGAATGGTTCTGAACAGAACAACATACTGAATGGTTCAAAATCAGGAGAGGTGTGCACCAGGGTTGGATCCTTTCACCATACTTATTCAATCTGTATGCTGAGCAAATATTCCAAGAAACTGGATTATATGAAGAAGATGTATCAAGATTGGAATAAGACTCATTAATAACCTGTTTTACTCTGTGCTAGTTGAAAGTGAGGAGGACTTAAAATACTCACTTATGGAGATCAAAGACTATAGACTTCAGTATGGGTTGAACCTCAATGTAAATAAGGCAAAAATTATCACAACAGGAACAATAAATAACATTAGGGTAAATGGAGAAAAGAGTGAAGCTGTCAAAGACTTCATTTTGCTTGAACCCACAAACAACACTCATGGAAGCAGCAGTCAAGGAATAAAGTGACTTACTGAATTAGGCAAATCTGCTGCAAAAGACCTCTTTAAAGTGTTCAAGAGCAAAGATAACAGTTTGAGGATTAAGGTGTGCCTGATCTGAGCAATGCTATTTTTAATCGTCTCGTATGCATGTGGCTATGTAAGAAAATGTACTGGACAGAAAGGTTAGTTTGAACCGCTCCTCAGAAATCCTATACAGTGTCGCTATGAGTCAGAACAAATACAATTGCTGGGTCACAAGAAGTATATAAGTTTAGATTGAGTAGATACGGCTTAACCATTTTTCAAAGTATGAATTTCTGGTGTAGCACTATAGGATAAGAACTGGACTGCTAACTGCAAAGTCGGTGGTTCAAACCCAATACTTATCCTATAGTGCTACACCAAGACTCCTTTTGAATGTATGTAATTGCAAATGTGTTCTGTATTGAGGTTGCCTTTTCATTCTCTTAATGATAAATTTCTTAATTTTAGTTAGACATAGTTTTAAATATTTTTCTTAATATTATTTTGATACTGTTTTAAGAAATCTGGGTCAAACTTTAGGATCTTTAAAAAGTTTTCCTAATCTTTTTACTAGAATCTTAATTGTTTTAGCTGCCACATTTATGTTATAATCCATTTCAAATCCGTTTTTGTATAATGTGAAGAAGGGAGTTAAGATTCATTTATCAGAAAGAAAAAGTCATCTTTTCCCATGAATTTTTGGGAAGGGACATATTTTAAATATTGTATGCTTTTTTTCTTATTGTTCAACACATATGTAACATTCAAACATCTTTGCATTTAATTTTGTTCTCACTCACATGATAAATAAGCTAAATGAGGAATGATGAATAAACATGAAAAATTTATTTCCAAAAGAAAACTTAAGAGTATTTAGGGAGGATTCTTATAATAGACAATGTGAGTATATGTAATCTCATTTCATTCTTGGGTAGATTATAAATGAAATACTCTGTCTGCAAAATTTCCTTAAAGAGAATTAACCCCCCAAAAATCCACTGACATGGAGTCAACTCAGATTCATAGTAATCTTATAAGTTACTATAAGGTTCCTAAGACTAAATCTTTATGGGAGCAGACTACAACATCTTTCCTCAAGGAAAGTGGCTGGTGAGTTCATATCACTAATTTCTTGGTAAGCAGTAAAGTGCTTAACTGATGCACCACCTGGGCTCCTCTAAGAGAATTGGCACAGATGAAATAACTCGAAGCTCTGAGAGGACCAATGGCCTGTCCAATTGGTTGGGAATAAAATGAAACCCTCTGAGTTTAAGGTATATTTTCTCAATTGGAATGATTATTTTTGGAAAACAGACATACAGAATCTAACTAATAATCCTCTTTTAAACTGTGACTGATTGATTTCATTTAATCCAGGACCCTTCTCTGTGCATTTAAATGGGGCTCTGAGATCCAAACAAACTCATCACCAGCATTTTAGCATTGTGGATTAATGTGCTGGACTGCAAAGCCAGTTTGAATCTCAAGGTGACAGTTGAAACTCAACAACCACTCTTCAGAAACTCTATACAGGTTGCTATGGTTTGAAACTGACTTGATGGCACTTAATAAAAACAACATATCATAAGTTGTCTAAAACTCGAATTCACCATAGTTTCTGACATTGCATGTCTATAAATAATGTCATTACTCTTGTGAGAAATGAGTTTTCGTTGTTGTTAAGTTCCATTGAAGTCAGTTCTGATTTATAGTGACCCAATACACAACAGAATGAAACACTGCCCAGTCCTGGGCCAACCTCACAATTGTTATGCCTGAGTCCATTGCCTCCACCGCTGTGCAAATCCATCTTATTTCCTCTTTTTCTCTGACCTACCACTTTACCAAATATAATATCCTTCTCCAGTGACTGATCCCTCCTGAGAACATATCCAAAGTATAAGAGATGAAGCCTGGCTATCCTGGCTTCCAAGAAGCATTCTGGCTGTACTTCCTCCAACTCAGATCTGTTTGTCATAATGGCAGTCCATTGTTGTTGTTGTTGTTAAGTGCTGTCAAGTCGATTTCAACCCACAGTGACCCTGTATAGGATTTCCAAGGAGCAGCTGGTGAACTTGAACCACCGACCTTGAAGTTCAAATGACTTTGAAGTCTGACGCATTAGCCCACAGTGCCACACCAGGACTCCAATGGCAGTCCATAGTACTTTCAATATTCTCTAACACCATAACTCAGATGCATCAATTCTTCTACTGTCTTCCTTATTCACTGTCCAATTTTCACATGCATATGAGGTTATTGAAAATACCATGGCTTCTATCAGGTGGAACTTAGTCCTCAAACTGATTTATTTGCTCTTGAACACTGTAAAGAGGTCTTGTGCCACAGATT